ATTATGAAAAATGATATGGTATCAGAATTTGTCATTCGTTATTTCCCTTTTAAACGGTTTCAGATAACCAACAATGAAGTCACAGAGTTGTGAGATGTCTATGAAACAATATACAGTGAAAATAAAGCGAAAAATTTATAGCAAAAGTGATGAACAACTTCACTGTTTAACAATCTGACCGTTATGGCACGAGAATTTGGACGACTTAACTTTTGTCGAAGATTTAAAAGTGAATTTTCTCTATAACATATTAGGGTAACCTAATTTCATTGCATCTATGAGACTCAAGAAGGTTAAAAAACAAGTCGCTGTACAAAATTTTGACTCACTTTATTAACATAGATTAACCGTTGAATCAAATAAGATCTATAGCATTAATTTCGTCCACTTAATCTCAATAAATCCTGCATATAACAGTAAGAATATAGAAAGCTTTCTGTCATAAAGAGACACCATTTTTCGATAAACCTTCAATGATTATAAAACCCGTTTAACAGAATTTATCAGCTGACAAAATGTTCGTAAAATACGTATGAAAGTTAGAATTCATTGATTTTAGCTTTCGCTTTTAAGCGTCTTCGTTTAGGAAAAAGTACGGTTGAAATCGTAACCGAGCTGGCCATTAGTGTTTTTAATGGGAACTTCAAACTCGCCTTAAATGTGATGAGAGTTATAAGCATAATCATTGGGTCGAAGAGTCATTCATACATTTTACGGAGTGGGTCAACCGATTTAAGCGCCGAACATTCGCCGCTATTAAACGCGCGACCCCCAAAAATTTGGAAAAATCAAACCAAATATCAGAACTTAAAATCTGAGAGTGAAAATAGATTGCTTTAGGAATCACGAATTTGTTGATTACACGTAAGTATAAAGATTTTATTATCTATTATCGAAACAAAAAGTCTACTCAAACGTGTAAGAGCTTCTTTTTACAAACTTTATATCTGGAATCTTTGCTTAAGCATACCTCGAAATCTTCTAGTCTAATTCGAATCAGATAAATTGTATTTAACCTGAGAATTAATTTTCTCTTATCTGCCCTATTAAGATAAATTGCGAATCTTTATTTTTTCGTCAAATTGAAATGCGACAAATCTCTCGGAAATTGAAACTATTACTTCATCGCGTGGTCCTGTACTATTAGATAAAAATGATTGAGCGATAACTAAGTCCCTTTTTGAACGTAAAAATAACTTTCTTTTCTGATTTCGGGTGGACACGAAAAACGAAATCGTGCTCACCGGTACTGAACGTACGCTAACAGAAAAAAGTTTAGAATCACTTATTCCGTGAGAGGAGTACTTGGACTTTTAGTAGAAGAAGTACGTATAAATGAATGAACTTTTATAAAACATTTGCAATTATTGCACACAACTGAGGAAAGATAATAAAATCATTGAACTTGGTTGAAATTTTCATTAGAGACCGTTTTATGGTCCCCACTTCCTAATGAAGATTTTATCATGGAAAAGTAATTAAAAGTAATCACCAGAGTGTTAGAAACCTTACGATGCAATGAAATAATTTAAAACAGGAAATTTGTTAGACTTGTAAAACCACTCTTAATGAATACGTCAGAGGGAACAGCAGTGAAAACTACCTATTTCTGCTTGCTGAAATAAGAGACACAGGAAAATTAACGATTCACAATGTATGTTATGGTCATAGACTATACTTTCTTTCTCAAAGTGGATACAATCGTTTGAGCAACAATTATTTGTGTTTCATCTTCGTTACATCATTGCACATAACATATTCATCTCTTTTAAGTCAAACTTTGTATACATTATGAAATAACATATAATTAAAATAAGTAAAGACAGTTTTAGTTTACAAAGTTTCTTTGTATTACAAAAATATATGAATATTATCTATTTTGTAAGTCTTAAAATAGAATATATTCGTAGAAGAAATTGCATCTACTACAATTTTAAGAGTTCTTTTCACTTCAGTCCTGTTAATATTTTTATACAAAAAGTAAAACGGGAGGTAAAATTTTTCGTCTGAAAATATAAATTTTCAACGAAACAAAATGTATTTCCGAATACAGCTTGCGTGAATCATATAGTTCATTTATCATTTATTATTTATCGAATGCACCTTTTAAGAATATTTAACTGTTCTAACCATTTGTTTGTTAAAACTTAATGAAGCACGAAATTCGTGTGTATATTTGTTTTTGTCGTTCGGTCGTAAATGTTTTTCTGTTGAATCTTCTGAAAAATTCAAGCACTTCGACCACAGATATTCCCTTTGCCGGAGCGCAAATAGTAACGGTTTCCCCAGTGCATTAAACGCGCGGTAATTACTCTTATGTAACTTAATCGTTAATACCACTTTGAAAAGAATCATGTAAATAAACTATGGAAGACAAGTAAACTAAAAAAAAGTGTCACAAATAATTAACAAAGGTTCATTTAAGTATTAAAGTGTAAATGTTCATTAATTTTTCTAATATATTATATATTTGTAATATATTTCTCTAATTCATTGCAATTAATCTACTCACTAAGAGTGAAGTATTCTTTTCTCGTCGTAAAATAACGGAAGAAATAAATTCATTGTATCTAAAGTAAAATTTATGAAATACTAACGAATCGTGTAGATATAAAATGTGCATGCCAGGAAAAGGGAACGTTACATTTCTTCCTAATCAAGTGCCGACCATTCTTCAGTAGCAAGACATTTTCTAAAGTAGATTGTAGTGCACTACATTGTCTGCATAATGATCGCTGGGCTTCTTATCTGCTCCTCAAGTATGCATGTATATTTAAATTCCATAACGAAGTGTCCTTTAGATTTCTCTGTAGCTTTTCATTCGTACACAGCCATTCAGACTCATTCTTTGAATTACAGAAAATAGTCGACTCCGTTTCATACATTATAACTTGTTCCGTACTCGAAAAGACATCTCGTTATTCTTTGTATAAAATAAAGGAATGCTATCAAAACAGGAAATTTCTTGAGAAATTATAACTTCGATATAAAACGTTCTTTTTCAGAAATATCACAGTCCAAGTGAATATATTTCAGGCGTAACGTTATGTACCATGTACCACGTGATAAATGATAACATCTTATTTGCAAACAGTTCCCTTTTCTCGCCACTTGATTTTCTATACAAGAAGAGTATTGCGCTAAAGCTCTCATCTTGTCAAAAGAAAAATGAATATTCGTTAGACTGTAATACTGTAATAAGTAACCAATAAACATCATAATATATCGAATCAAGTGATTTAGGAACATCGAATTTTTTCTAAGACTGAATATGTATCCTCAGATTTAATTCCATATCACCAGACAATGGATCTTTCCACAAAATCATAATTTTCCAAAGTAATTTAAAGAATCAGGAACTAAGTAGGAGCTAATTCTTTCAAAAATTTTGTCAAATTAAAAAGTAAGGTGCAGTACTCTCGAATGATCATAAACATTATATTTAATGCACTCATATCTGTCATAAATGCATAAAATCCGTTGTTTACGTATCACTTTCCGTGACCAAGTAAATGTTTAAGAAAACTGACATTTCAATTATGAGAATTATTCAGTCCAACATTTTTCATCTCCCATTCAATGTCAGTAACCTTTGCCTCTTTTCCCCGTAGGCGTAAAAACAGCATGGAATCTGGAAAAGAAACATTTCAATATAAACCTTACCGTCTTGTTTGATACGTATTAATAGTGTTGAGGATCTTTCCGTCGTCGAATAAGATTCCTTCTGACAGAAGGCAAGCTTGACATTGTAACTTCTAACATCAAGTTTCAGG